CAGACTTTTCTACCCACCACTGGATTTTTCCATTCAGCTGGATGATCCTGAGGACTGACAGCCAGGAGGTTGTCCAGCTTTTTATTCCAGTCATAATAAGGTGACTGTGTTAAACCACACAGTGGTTAAATCACACAGTGTGATTTTACAAGGTCCTATACCACCTTGCTCAGGACCTCTGCCCCTAGTTAGCAGGCAAGGCTGTAGCAGTTGCTGCTGCTGACTCCGAAAGGAATGTAGAACTTGCAGCAGCCTTCTGAGTTTGGTCAGGAAGATGCCCTTTGGACCAAAGCAGACTTCTTTTCACACAGCTCAGTTTCCAGGGATCGCCACAGATGTGCCCACTAGCCCAGGTTCCTGTCAGTCATCAGAAGCTACCTTTATGATGCCCTTTATTCCTGGTGGGAGAGGGAGAAATGAGTTCCCTGGGTGCCAGTATTTATTTGGTATCCCTGAATTTGGGGCACCCTTTTTTTGTTGCTGTTTTCAAAACACTGAATTATTGTCACCTTGATGTACAATTTCAGTAAAGCTTTGTAAAGATAATTGGACATGTGCTTGGACAAGCTCTGATTTTATTCCATCCCTTGGAGAAGAGACTGGAACTCTTCCAGACTTCCATTTCAGTACCATTCTTGTGGCACTGAGTGGACAGGGCCACTCCAGCTGCCCAGGCCTGAGAACCATTCCTGTGACCCACCCATTCACATAGCATTTGGAAGCCCATGATGAAGGGATCTCTAAAACTCAGCCCCTCTGAACAGCCCGTCACAAAGGGAAGCTGAAGAGGGTAATAACAGAGGCTCCTGGCTTGGGCAAGTTGGTAGTGTCCCCAGGCTAGAGGGTTTGTTCCCTTTTGCTCCTAAACAAGCCCCAGAGGACAGCCTGGGATCGTGACCCTGGTGCATGAGATACCAGGACATTTGTGGAGTCAGAGCTGTTTTCACCCACTAAAAGAGGCTATGTCCCTCCTCCAAAAAAGGTGGAAGGTTATGAGTGTCTCTTTTAGCCTTTTCTTCTCAGGTATCAGGAAACAGTTTAAATAAATTGAGCAGAAAGAAAAGCATGCAGATGAGCTCCCCACTGGTGCAGAAAACTCAAGCTGAAAATGCAACGTAAAATAAGACTAGTTTACTGGAGCCAGTCAACCCAAGAATCCTCGAAGCCCTGGGGCCACAGGGGACTCCCAGGTGAGGTCACGGCTGAGACGGAGACACAAAACAGGATGTGGTCTGAGACAACACACCTGTGTGCATATTCAAAGGATTTCATTTTTAAAAAGCAATACAAAGTACATTACAGTTGGAAAGCCTGCCCCCCGACAAGTGAAAGACTCAGGGTTAATGGTGATTTTACAAAGGTGGAAAAGGAGACCTTGTTTTGGCCAAATCGCAGGGACAAAGTCACATGTCAAACTGTGTCCTATGACCAGGTAATCCTTTCTCCATTAGCATTTCCTTTATGGGTGAGAACTTACAAAGTTTAACTCAAATTGCTTTTCAGTGAAGATTTGTTTTTCCCTCTGGCAGCTGATTAACTTATAGAGCCAGATTAAAGCCTAAAAAATACCAGAATATAAATCCGTATTGCAGGGCTAGGGCCACAAACAGGAAGTCAAAAGCCCAGACAAGAAAATTGTGCCTGCACCTCAACTAGCTCAATTAGGAAATCTCCAAGATGCCTAGGCCGAGAGAAAAAACCTGGAACATCATGATACGATCTATGGCTGAGGTCAGAGGCTGAATGAACCATTCTAGGAAAGAACAAAATTTCATTTTAATTCAGTTCCTCCTGTATGAGCACAATTTCACTTTCAATGCACTTCCCTGATCCTCCTCTGCTATTTGGGTCACCTTCAAAATTCAAATGTCCCCAGTGTTACAGTATTAAGAGGTAGGCCCTTTAAGAAGAGATTAGGTCAGCCAGGCACAGTGGCTCACGCTTGTAATCCGAGCACTTTGGGAGGCTGAGGCGGGTGGATCGCAAGGTCAGGAGTTCAAGAGCAGCCTGGCCAACACAGTGAAACTCTGTCTCTACTAAAAATACAAAAATTAGCAGGCGTGGTGGCAGGCACCTGGAATCCCAGCTCCTTGGGAGGCTGAGGCAGGAGAATCGCTTGAACCTGGCAGGCAGAGGTTGTAGTGAGCTGAGATCATACCACTGCAATCCAGCCTGGGTGACAGAGCTACACTTTGTCTCAAAAAAAAAAAAAAAAAAAAAAAAAAAAAAAAGTCATGAGAGCTCCTCCCCTCATGAATGAAATTAAGGTTCATATAAAAAAGGCTTCAGGTAGCAATCAGCTCATGTGCCCTGGTACCTTCTGCCACGTGAGGACACAGCTTTCCTCCCTCCCAGAGGACCCAAGCACAAGGTGCCATCTTAGAAGCAGAGAGTAGCCCTCACTAGACAAGGAAACCTACCCATGCCTTAATCTTGGACTTCCCACTCTCCAGAACTGTGAGAAAATGAATTTCTGTTCTTTATAAATTACCCACTGTCAGGTATTTTGTTAAAGCAGCACTAAATGGACTAAGACATCCAGTGTTTACAAATGGTTTGAAAACTGAGGAAGACACAAGTCATGGACCACTCCTCAAATCATAAAGCTTCTAAGGAACCCTTCAGCACTTCTCTTAACTAGCAAATTAGTGGAGAAACAGAAACTAGAGCCTTCTGCGCCGGTATGCCAACTATAATTGTCTTCAGGAGAAAACACGGAAGTTGTAGATAAGTATACATTTCTTCTAAAACCCCAGTCACCCAACCAATTGAAAAAACATCGACAGGGTCGCTGTAGTGAGTCAGACATTTGGAGATCTCAAAAGCTGGAGCAGCAGCTGGAGCCCCGTCTCTGGGACCCCAGCCACTGGCTCTGGGAGGAGCCACTGGGCTCTGCCCTCAGGGTTGGCTCCCACAACATCATCATCTTTTTTGTCTTTCATACAACTAAACGACCTTTGCCCAGATGAGAATGCCAGCTCTTACTGCTACCTCTTCTCCCTTCTAGAGCGAATTCACCCATCCCACCTGAAATAATGGCCAGTGAGAACAGGCCAAGATGTGCATACTCTGGGTCAATTTTATGTTTTGGTTTTATTACTATTTTTTTTTGTGTGTGGATCTCTGAAAGACAGCAGAGTTATGTAGAGTAATAAAGTCATTTTCAAGGTTCTTTCATCTACCTCTAACAACTCCTCTAGGGCAAACAGAGTTCCGTTAATCATTGATAGACTCAACGGAAAACAAAGTGATCAACACTGGACTCCATTTCCACTGCCTCCACCCACCCTCCCAGCTTCAGGATACAGAGCTTCAACATTTGAGTAGGCAAATGAGAAACATTTTCTCATATAACACTGTATGCCTAGAGCCACAGTCCACATGATTTAGACATCATTAGCAATATTTAAATTGCCAAGATGACATCTGACTAAAACTAGAACAGACCAAGGTTTCTCAACCTTGGCACTGTTGAGGCTTTGGGCCAGATAAAGCTTTACAGTGGGGGGCTGTCCTTGGCACTGTAGGATGTTGCTCAGCATCTCTGACCTCCGCCCACTGGATACCAGTAGTACCCCCCAGTTCTGACAACCAAAAGTCTCCAGACATTGTCAAATGTCCTCTGGGAGGAGGGAAGCAAAATCTCCCCATGGCTTAGAACCAGTGGAACAAGCCAATGTAACCACTGTATTCTGAGAATGGAAGCTGAGCTGACCCCATGAATGCTTTCTATAGCAAATCACATTCAAGAGGTCCAATTCTGAAGACAGTCCTATTAAGCAAATTATCTCTTTCTGGCTGAACCCTCCGAATCCTAAAGTTACATGGTTACGAAATTTGCTATGCAATCGACCTGTTTAGTCTGGAGAAAACTAAACTGTAAGTGCAGAAAACATAACATCTAATTTTGTGCTTATGAAACAGGAGTGGCAGCATGAAGTGTTAGGCCTCATTTTAGGGTGTGGCTGTGGAATTTGCTGGTTGTTTGTTTCAGGCTATTCCTTAGGGTTCAAACCCCTTCCTTGGCACATCCCTTTAAAACCAAACCATGTTTACTTAGCTTTGGAAGTTTCCTGTGGCCTCCCACAATCCTCAGGACAATTGCTGAAATGGTTGGTTGATATTTAACAGACGTTTTTCAAGTGCTACGAGGAAAGAAAGCGTCCACATTTTACTTCTTCATCTTCTGAATTATTTTCATTCTTACAACTATGACCTCGTGGCAGATTTTCATCCCCAACAGTAACATCGAAAAGAACAGAACTGCATCTGTGGTTCCCACCACAAGCAACGAATGTCAGATACGACTCTGCAAGTCCAATTTTGACCGTGGTCAGACTATGTCATTAGAAAATAAAAATTCAAACCCTACAACCCACAGGAACCATGAAAACAAAAACATTACCATTTGCCAAAACCCGTTTGTCTGGATTGAGCAAGTTTATACTAACAAACTAAAGAATGAGAAAAAATTTATCTTGCAGACTGTAAAAGTTCATCTAGTTAAAAATGGGAGTATTTTCATTTTTAATTACCTTTGATTTGAATTCTTCCCTACAAAGAAATCTACATTAAATTGTAGTTGACCTTATCATAACAGATGAAAAACATCTTGAACTGACCTGTTCCTGGTTAGCTGATTACAGAACTACATAATCCATTCTTGAGTAATCCTTTCCAAATGGCCTATGTGACTGCTTAGAGAGCTTTCCAGCTCTGCAGCCTGTAAAATGACCTTAATAGCCAGTTCATGGTTATTGGAAGTACTGACCAAATTTACACAATGTCACACTCTTGGCAGAGAATGCCGCCATTCTCTTAATTCCAGAATAGCAGCGTGCCCTAACCATCACGTGGCATCCCCTATCCCACTGTAGAGGAAACTACCCTTCCCGCTACATAAAGAAGGTCCCATCCATGAGAATACACCTCTATTGACAACGCTGGTGAGAGGTATTTTTCATGGTCTCTCAAAGAAGAGGTCATCGCACTAAAGCACATACTTTTAGATCATTGCTTTATTTCACTATTGTTCAACTACAAAGTTCATTCCTCTCAAGGTGGATCTTGAATCATTCCTTGTGTTCTCTTCCTCCTTCTGAATAAAAAAGGTAATGAAGAAAAAGCCTGTACTTTTGGAGACCTAGAATCTTGATTGATGCTAATAAGCTTTTGACTGCAATTTTGTTTTACGATATTTCCTGCTGGCATCCTGGTGGTCACACGAGGCTCCCCACCCTCCAGTGAAGATGGCTGTCCACAACTACCACCATTGAAACCAAAAGTAAGTGTTGAAAAATGCACCTTGTACAATAAAAAAGTAGAAACCAATTCAATTTCCTCTTTTTTTTTTTTACGAATATAAAGTTTCTTGTAAATATGTACAGTCTTTTGAGCTAGTTCTATATAGCAGGAAGCAGTTCACAGATGAGACACACAATATACACTTTCAGGCCTCAAGAAGCCCATTTCTCATGAAGATCCTAAATGAAATGCCAAGACTGAAAGACCAATTTTCAGTGACCTTTCCAAATACTGTGGACCAAGAGACAAAAACTTCAGCAAACATTCAATCAAATCTGCCCTGGGGACGGGAGGGGAGGGAGGATGACCCCACAGAGTCCAAGCAACACATAAAACGCAACAGCAGGGCATTTGCCAGAGGACCTAGGAACATGGAGGTTTGTAGGCGTTTCAAACAAGAAAGCACTTAGGTTAAGACACGAGCAGGAAGGAGCCGGGATGCAGGCCAGGCTGCAATCGGGAAAGGGATCTGAACTGTGGACACACGATTGAAAACACGGTCGTGTTCACCTGCTGCGGTGGAAATGGGTCTACCTTTGAGCCTACCTAGGAGGTTGCCTGGGTTTTTGAGGCGGGCCTAAGAGTCATGGAGGACCCAAAGCAACAGACGCCTTGTGGGAGATTAAAGGCAGAAATAAGGCCGCAAGTTAGCTTGCCAACTGCAAAGCCTCTAGGTCGATTCTATACCAGTTGCCAGGAATTTCATACTCTAATCGGAGGCTCCAGGGACCCAGTGGGAGCCGCACTGCACCTAAGGACTTCCCAACCCGGGCAGAGCTGGAAGAGTATTGAGCTGCGGCTGCTTTCTCCAACTTCCTGGTCTTAGGTGTACCCCTAGGGAAAGGCTCGTTTGGGAAGTCACAGTTTCGTGGGGTAGAACCGCGCTGGGTGGGGTGTGAACAGAGTCATCCTCAGCAGGCAGGGAAGTGTGAAGTTTGGAGGGGACATTGAGTGGGAGGTGGTGGTTTGCTGAAATCCTTCTCTGGTCGTAAGGCTTGAGCGTTTTTTTTGTTTGTTCAGTGCTACAGACTGCAGCTCGTGGTGGCCAGTTAGTCGGCAAGTCGTCAGAGGGTCTCAATTCGGCAGGAGCTATGGGATGGTAGTAATACATTGGCAGAGCAACCCAAGGGGGCAGCACATGCAGTGGACCGCCATGCAGAACTCCCGACAGGCCTCTTCCCCATCCCAGAGTGGGGAACAACATGCCATCACAGACAGGAGGTGGGTGCCCCCGTCCCCTCCCTGACCCCGAGACCCAGGAGTGCTGGGCTCCGAGCAAGTCTATTGCATGCTTTCCTGGCCAAAGCTACATGGAAAGCGGGAACAGCAGGCTGGGGAGATGATGCCGGGGGGGGGGGCGGGGAAGGAAAGCGTCTCGAGGTCCCTTGGCCCCAAGTCACTGCTTCCGAGCTGAGGCCCGTTGACCTCCATACATTCTCAGCTGGTGGGAGGGGAAGTTGTCAAGGCCATAAAAGGCAATGAAAACAGTAAACATTTGGCTACGATGTCACCCTGGGGAAAGCAGGGCCATCTATGAGAATGGACAGGAACAAGAATGAACCTACGTGGCTCAGGAGGCTGGCCGACTGACCGGGACTCCTCTACACTACGCTTCGGTAGCAAAGACCCGATGGTGTGATCTAGCTAAAAATGATTACAACAGGAAATACGTTGCTATTCAAATCTATTAAGAATTTTGTTGTCTTTAAAAAAAAAAAAAAAAAAAAAAAGGGAAAGAAACCAAAAAAAAAAAAGAAAAACCAACCAATCCTAGGATCTTAAAGTATCTAATTAGGATTCTAACCACGTTGTAGTTACCATCCCGGTTGGTTTCCTTTGATGAACTAACTGGTACAGGCTAGAGCTAGGTACAAAAGTTTGTGAATGCTTTGAAAGAGTAACAAAGTGCAAAGAGATGACTGCAGGGAGGTGCCCAGGGCAGGCACTGAGCGCTGACAGCTCCGAAGAGCCTCAGCCACCTGCCCCTCCTGGAGACAGGGGTGTCCGTGCCGAGGTGGGTCTGGGCCCCGCTGAGCCAGAGGGTGGCTGAGCACGTGGGCGCTGGGGTCCCCATCAGCAGAGTTCCATAGTGTGTTTGGTATTTTCCTGCAGATTGAGATGAGGAGTTGGTTTCTCTGGCTGAGATTTATACTGAAGACTGGTCCCAGACCTAGGGGTGAAACCAGGAGGAGGAGTGTTAGCCACCCGAGGCCAGAAGTTGCTGTGCTCACCTTGCATGATGCAAATGGGAATTTGCAGCCCCTGGGCTACCCCCTTCAGCAGTTAGCAGTGAGTGCTTGGCAGGGCAGCACCCACTCCAGAGCCAGCCCTCAAAGCCTGGGGTAAGTCAGGGAGTGAAACTCACTGGAAAATCCCAAAGCTGTGTACCTGTGTTGCTGTAAGCATTGTACGCACGTACACAGTTTCATGGGTCAATCAGGGGGATAAGAAGCCATATGGATGGTGTTTCCTTCTTTCTGTACCAGCAGGTGAACTGCAGGTGGCATCAGAAGAAGAATGCCACCCAGAAAATCAGCCCCAAGTGGCAGAAAGGTGGCTCCTTGGCCCGCCTAGCCTGCTGAGGAGGCACCAAGCGCTTGAGTCATCCCCTGCCTGTGGGGGCCCCTTCTTTTCAACACCCATCCATCTCCTCAATCGCAAGCCTAAAAATTACACAGATAATTCATGCACATGATTTAAAAATTTCCAAAAGTTCAAAGTTCTTCTGGAAGGCAACCACTGTGAACACTTTCTGTGTAGCCTTCCAGAAAAACAATTTATATATACATGTGTGGGCCGAGCGTGGTGACTCACGCCTGTAATCCCAGCATTTTGGGAGGCCAAAGTGGGAGGATTGCTTGAGCCCAGGAGTTCAAGACCGGCCTAGGCAACAGATTGACATTCTGTCTCTAAAAAAAATAAAAAGGGTGGGGTGGGGGTGGGGATGGGAATTAGACAGATGGTGGCTTGAGCCTATAGTCCCAGCTTTCAGGAGGCTGAGGCTGGAGGATCGCTCAAGCCCAGGAGTTCAAGGCTGTGGTGAGCTATGATCATGCCACTGCACTCCAGCCTGGGCAACATAGTAAGACCCTGTCTCTGAAAAAAAAAATGGGGAAATATTAACCAGACATGGCGGCTACAGCCCATATTCCCAGCTACTCAGGAGGCTGAAGTGGGAGGATCCTTTGAGTCCAGGAATTCGAGGCTGCCATGAGCTATAATCATACCACTGCACTCCAGTCTGGGTAACAGAACAAGATGCTCTCTCTCAAAAAAAAAAAAAAAAAAAAAAGTGTATGTGTGTGAATCTATAGGTATGTTTGAAAAAAGTAAAGCATGGACAGGATGCTGTCTGTCATTTGTGTTTTAAAAAGGAGAGCACGCAGATATATTTGCTGGTATGCATGGAATAGCTCTAGAAACTGCTACCATTTGCCTCTGGAGAAGGGGAAAACATATTTTTTGGTAGCTATTATATTTTGAGTTATACACACATATCTATTCCTTTTTAATCACACACGTGTTATCCATTTGCTTAGGAAGCTATTTCTTAATGTACATTTTCTTCCTAAACTTCTGTGTCTCACAAAGTCTGAATTACAGTCATGGACTTCCTTTTTTAAACAGTGGCCCTGTGGGGGCCCCAGTTCCCCAAGTCACTCCTGGCCTCCACAACAGACACGCAGGCCTCGGAACGCTGCCTTACCTTGTTAACCTGGGACAGCGGGGTCCTCACGGCTCCCGCAGGCAGCCGGCCCCTGCTGCTGTCTTCAAACAGCCTCCCGGGGGACCGCTCTCTCCGCGTGCTGAGCATCCGGCCGGGGGACTTCTCCCGCTCCAGGGGGCGGCCAGGAGACTTGTCCCTGCGCAGCTCGGTCCGCCCCTCACGGTAGCGGTGGGGTGTGCTTGGCTCTCGGGGGTGGCTGGGGCCTTCGGGCGGCGCTGGGCTGGAGGCCACACGCTTGGTGATGTGCTCGTTGTATGTGGGCGGGCCTCGCTTGTTGGGGCTGCTGGCGACATAGAGTAACATAGGGAGCTGCGAGGTCACAACCCCAGCGTGGCATTTTCCGACTTCCCTGAGCAACCCCTTCACCCAGCCTCACCACCGATCAAGAGATTAGACCTGGAGTTCCTCGGACTTTGCTACTTTGATTTTGGTAGCAAAGACGGGTCAGAGAGCAAAGAGGCAACAAAAGAAAACCCACCTTCCTGGTCTCCGTTCAGGCTTTCATTTACTGAGCACCTACTCTGTGCCAGCCCTGTGCTAAGCACTTCACCTGCCATCTCTCATTATCTCATTAAATCATCACAGCAGCTCTTGAGTTATGAACAAGTATGACCCTCACTGTACAGGCAAGAAAATGGGGACAGACAGGAGTGGTTTGCCTGAGCTAATGAGTGGTAGAGCTGGGATTCCAATAAAGACCAGTTTGATGTCATAAGCCCCATACTATATCCTACTGACCTAGTATTTTCCAGAGGCTAGAAGGCACAGAAGGACATCTTCATCTAGGAGGTCAGCCTGCTAAGACCGAGAAGTCAGAGACCCACCAAGACCCTCAGTGCAAGGGAACAGTTTGGGGAAACCCTGTCCTCATCACTGTTAACTGACTTGTCTGTCCCACTCCTGGGCCTGGTGTTTGGTCGCCTCTCCCCACAGGTGGCTTTCCAGGAGTCTCTCTGGCACCTGATACGAATGCAGATGCTCAGAAGGTTGATAATTCTCAGTCATGGTCATAAGACGACCGAGAGGTATAGGGGTCAGGCCTGATATAGTCAGGAAACTGAGCAGGGCAGACAAAAACAGTAGAGTGGGCTCAGAAAATGTCCCAGGCCCCAAAGGTTAATCATTAGTAACCAAACAGTTGAAAACACTGGGATCTTTTTGTATGACCCAACTCAACCCTCCACCCACTCCTGGCCTGGATATTTCAAATGAAGATTTCAGCAGACCCAAGGCCCAAACTCCATCTCTGAAGATATAGTAAGACCCAGAAACACAATGTGGCCTTCTGAGTCCATTCTTTCCCACCTCTGACAAGCTGAAAAAGTACTAGGGTCCCTGTTATCTTAGCATAATTTGTGCTTGGAAAAGACCCTACTTAAAATGGGGGAAAAATTTATGGTGAATATTACTTGAAAACATATTTTGTTTAATTGAGGCTTTATCTTACTTAGAAAACAAACTTATTTTATGCTAGATATTTTTAGTATTGAAATTACAATGCAATTACATGCTGATTCCAAAAATGAACCAAGTATGAATCACAGAATCATTTGTTTTGGGCTAATTCTCTCAACAAAATTGTTGCTAACATGCTCTGACATCAACGTTGGACACATTGGACTTTTGCACTAAGATCCTAAAGAAGGCTCTTCAAAAACATTAGAAAAAGCTGGGCATGGTGATGCATGCCTGTAATCCTAGCTATTAGGAAGGCTGAGGAAGGAGAATCACTTGAGCCCAGTAGTTCGAGACCAGCCCGCACAATATGGCAAGACCCTGCTTCTTAAAAAGTAAAACTAAAAATTAAAAAAAAAAAAAAATTAGAGCATCTGTGGTTTTCCCAAAGGACTATCGTAATCCTTGATATTTAAATCCTTCTCTTTGGAAGAGGCTATCATTTTATCAACTTGTTCATTTTTTTCTTCAATTATTGGTCTAACTATCAGAGCCGCCTCTGTCAATGTCCATAATTGAGAAGCAACAGCAAAGACAGTGTCCCACTGTGAAGGACAGACTCTAGAACAGGCTTGAGGGCCAAATCCGGAAGACGCCTGCTTTTATAAATAAAGTTTTATTGGAATGGAGCCATGCCCATCTGGTTATGCATTGTCTTACAGCTGCTTCCGCATGGCCACAACAGGGTAGAGCAGCTGAGACAGAGACCATATGGCTCACAAAGCCAAAAATACCGCCTAGACCTGTACAGAAAAAGTTTGCCAATTCCTGCTCTACAGTAAAACACAGAGGTTGGTGTGCAGAGATAACTTCATAGGGGCTTAGTTCACAGTGAACAGTTTCATGCCACGCTCTTGGTTTCCCATGCAACTCTTAACGTTGGGAGATTCAGACAGCAAATGCTCAGAAGGCCAGAACTCCTGTCTGTGCTAAGATTTAAGATAACTCAGATTTCAACATCTTGAAATCAAGGTTTATATTCATCTCTAGCCATATGGCTTTAAAATCTGGAGGACAAATAAAAAAATAAATTTTGAATAGCAGAACTACATTAAGCCTACTGGTAATGGAAGAGAAATGA